AATATATTCATTTAATTTGTCACGCGATTTTATTAATATCCTTCAGTCATTTTTTTGTAGGTATCATGATGCAATACCTCATCCTGCGCCCTTTGTTTAATGGGTGTCTAAAATTATATCCAAAAAATAAAAATAAATAAATAAAATACAATTCCTTTTAGGTATTTCAAACACAGTACAGTACAGCATGTTAATTAAGTTGATTAATTATATACTCATACTTTCTTATAATGTTTTATTATATTATGCAGCACATATTAGAGAAATAAAATGTTGCTTTTTTAAATGTATTCATGAAAATAAACAAATACAGCTATTTCTCTTCAAATCTTCAAATCACAGAATTCAATTAATCCCAGTGATGAAAAATGACAAAAATGATGGAACTGGACCAAACACTTTTTTTAATTGTTCAGCGTTACACTTACAAAGACATACAGCTGAAACCTGTTCCAGTTGATAGAGGCGTCTGAGAAACTGTCAATTCAGTCGATCGAATATATAAATACAACATCTGTCTTAGGAGTTTTTGACTCAAACAACGTACCTCGCTAACTCATGATTCTGTTTAGGCGTCACTGGAGAAGACAGATATTAAACTAGTGGTTTAGAGCTGGAATACCTCTGGTAAATGGAAATAGTGGTATTTTTCCGTACTGATTTCTGTTGTTCGTCTGAGGCTTTGATCTGCCACAAAACACAGCTTTGTCACTTACTGTAGACTCGTGCCTCAGGCACTTGACACAACACTTGTGAAACAGGGTGAGGGAAAAATAAAATTACAACTGTGTATTTTATTGTTTTTTATTCTGATCCATAAGAAATACAAATTCAAGTCAGGGCCCAGAGAATGTGATCGAGGCCCACTTGTGGTCCTTGCACCAGACCTTGAGCATACCTGCTTTAGTCGTTTAAAAGGAAGATAAAAGGCTGTTATTGATACCTGTGTGCTGTGTGTGATAATCACAGACCACATCATAAAGGATCTGGGCAGGGTTGTGTGAATTGTTTGTTTTATTGCTGCACTTTCTTTTTGATTAGAAGCACTTGTTTGTTTTAGGACAGGATAAGGTGAGTGAAGCAGGAAAAGATGAAGAAAAATCAGCTCAGTGAAAAAAAGGTGCTAAAATAGAAATAAAACACATAAATGGTGCTGTCAGGTCAGACTGACCTTCACTGTGCATGAAATTATTAAAAACATAAAACATTTGGGTAATAATTGTCAGGTTACAACACACAGGACACATTACCATGACTTTAATGTGCATTCGGATAATAACTAACGCAAGAGGCAATATCTGTGGTGGGTGTGCTGGTGCGGTGTAATGACAATTACAGTTTGTGATAAAATGAGAGACGAACATTGAAAAGTTTTTTGTTTTTTTTTTGTACCATGGTTATTGTTGTTGTATGCATCATTATTTAAATGATTCATAAATATAGCCAAATTCATTTTGACACTAAGACCTGGTTCACATTCATATCCAAACTACACAAACACACAATTATTATTTTTAATGTTTTTTTTTTGTCTTTAATTTTTTTTTTGTATAAAGCACCAACAAATCCAAAGTGCGTCTGGATTGTGTATTTTTGTGTAGATGTGGCATGACTGTCCTGTTGTTGGGTTTGTTTGTGCAGAGCTTTTGTCTATATTTAGTTTCCCTTTAGTTAAAACATTCATCTGACAATCACTGGATGCAGTTCTGGGCACCGTCCCAGAACAGGCCGTGAAAATTAAAAACAACAACAGAAATGTTTTTTTCCTACAAATTTGCTGGTTTATGTCTGCTCTCAGTTCGTCGTTCAGAGATAACTTTTTGGATCTCATTTTATTTCTGCTGAAAAACGAAACAGCTGTGCAAATATTTACCCTCAGTGGTAGCAGGTTGAGTGCGGGCACATAGATGTTCCTTGTGGAACCATGCAGACCTTTTTTTTCTGTGTACCATAATGCATCGTGTTTGTTTAATACAAGAACTAATTATTCTCTGAGGCTTAACCGGCAAATATTTGTATTGTGCATGGCACTCCTGCCACACTGCACCGCTGCGTCGTTCTTTGTCTGTAATACAGGTGACTGTTGGTATTTGGACTCTTCATGGTAACCCAAAACTCTCTGCAGACTTTGTAAGTGATAGATGAAATAATGAATGAAATCTTTGCATAATATTCCAGTAAAATTATGGCGGGTGATTCATTTGTGTGAAACAAAAGTTTATATCAGAGTGAAAGGTACACATTCACATGTAATTTCTTTTCATAGGAAATCTTTCACAAAAAAATTAAAATATATGAAAAAAACAAATCATTCACATAATAAAAAACAAAATTCCTTACAATTTTGCCTGGTTTGATTCGCCTGGGTTTTCATTACAAACCTAGAATTCACACAGATGCACAAAGCCACTGTGTCTGAGCTGTGTGTGTCAGAAACACGTCTCGCAAAAAAAGCTGCTTTAACTGCCATCAATCTCAGCATCTTTTTTTAATGAATATTTATTCAATAATAGAAGAAGTTCATGCTGTTTATGACTCCGACCGATGGTTGGAATTAACCAGGTGTTAAAAGTATTAAACGTGCCAATTGAATTGTTCTGGATGATGTCAAAAGTTAATTTACTTGGGATGCAGCTTGTCTCAATCAACACATTTGGAATAATAAGAAACATATTGACTTTGTCGAATTTATTTTTCAATTTTGAATAACAGAAAATAATAAATAATAAAATTTAAAAAAAACAAAAATCTGAAGATAGGTCAAATAGTTTTTAGAAAGATTTTATATTATCAAAATAAGTCTGATTGGAGTAACTGGAATTATAAATAAGTCTATAATAAGAAGACACAACTTGCCTTTGTGTTGAACTATGTTTGTTCAGGTTTTTCAGTTCTCCAAAATAATGCATTTAAAATCAAAGTAAGAATCAAATCCTTAACCAAATCTGAAACTTCTTCTATTAGGTTTTGACTGAGTTCATTTTTTATTTGTCCAAAACTCAGAGAACATTTTAATACAACTCTATTTCAGTTCATCCCCCAGAATTCCTGAAGTCTCTGGTGGGAACTCCACTAGGACAATTTTGCAGCGTTGTCTCTGGAGATATAAATCTGCTTTTCTTTTGTTTGTTTTTCTGATTTAATTGTCTTTTTTATTTGTCTTAAAATAAGACGAATAAAAACCTTTTAACCCCCTCACCATACAAACACTCCCGTTCCTTAGGAAAATTCAAATCTAGAGATATATTCCAGAAGACTCTGGCAGACAGTTTTAAATATTACAAGCTAAAGAAGCAAATTGCATGGGCAAACAAAGAGGAGGGAAGTGGGGAGCCTGCGTCACACCAGCTGCAGGCTGCCATCTTGAGTCCTATTATAGCAGGTGTCCATGTAAGGAGCCTATTCACAACCAAAGCGAGGAGAAGCTACAGAGGTGCAGTCGCCCTGTGTGGTGCTCCTCCTGTCAAAAAGCTTTTCTAGTAAATGTAAAAAACAAAAAAATAAAAATAAAAAATAAAAAACATTGAGTTTTTGTCAGTAAATGTATTTTTTAAAAGTATAGAATGAAACAGTGAAGGTTATTAACTGTGATATTTTTTTCACTGTCGTGAGACAAATGTCAACATGTAAAGACAGTTGTTTTTTCCTGTGCCTGCTTCCATAGAGTGTAAAAACAAAATGCTCAAATTGCAGGACCTTTACTTTTCTCACCTGTAGCAACACTGAAAGTACATTATAAAAAATTATAAAAATACTCAGCATCTCCTCCATTTGACTTTTAGAACACAGTATATAAACTACATTAAATAATAATCATAAAGATGCCAAGGGTTTTATGCTAAACTACATCATTTACATCATTATTCCACAATATTGAAAACATCACTTAAAAAAGTATAATAAAAGAAAATTAACTTTATATTTCACAATAGGAAATGGGAATGCTCCCAAAAAAACATGATGTGTTTTGATCAAACATTTCTAAATGCAAGGAGCTGAAGTTTGACGATCAAATATATATTTCCTACATATATTATAATATATTTGAAACTGTTGCCCTCACGTACTGTTTGTATTTCTCTCTCTATCTCTCTCTCTCTCTCTCTCTCTCTCTCTCTCTGTGGAGATTTTATGTGCATGACCTAATTCCTCTGTGAGCAAAGAATCTGCAGCAATGGCTGGTCATGTGTGTGTGTGTGTATGTGTGTGCACAAGTACTAGGGTGTGAGACTGTGCACACCCCTCCCTCTCTCACTGCTTCCTTGTAAAACTGACAGTAAGCACACTAAGTTCATCTGAGGACAGGGACGTGCTTTTTTCACTGTGAATCATTTTGGAAAAATGAGCCTCTGAACTGAATTGCCCCGGCAATCTTTGGCATGTTTCTCCACTCTGCTTCATTGTCTATCTTGGCTTAAGTTGCCCTTTCTTCATTTCCCTGCCAAGAAAACTTCAGGTTCTATACAACAGGCAAAGCCAGTTTCTGATTCTTCTACGTAAAGAATGCAAATCTCTTCTTCTTCTTCTTCTGCTTTGTCTTTATCAGTGAATTCCAAAGAAGTAGAGAGCAGACACTACTGTAAATCCACCGTAACCCACTGTCTGTATTTAACCATACAACATTATTGAAAGGATTCCTTTATTCTCGAAAGTCTTTGATGAATTTTGATCGAATCAAACATCGTCATGTTTCTCAGTCCAGCAGTTTACACACCAAAACTGCAGCAGATTGAAAGAAAATAGGAGGTGTGGTGTGGAGGTGTAGACAGCACAGAGGGGAGGGAGACGGAAGGAGGTGCTGCTGCTGCTGCTGCTGCTGATGATGATGATGGTGGGGGCTTTTAATTTTGCAGTCAGTCGGTCCCCTTGTATTTGTGCTGGTCCCTCCTTCAGAGGGAACAGAGTGGAGTGGGAGTGGCCTGTCCTGGGGTTCGTCTGGGCCGGGGGGGGGGGGGCGGCCCCGCCACCCCCCGCCCGCGCGGCCCCCCCCCCCCCCCGCTCCCCCCCCCCCCCGCACCCCCCCCTGCAGCCCCAACCCCAACTTAGCCACAGCCACAGCCGCCCCCAACAGGTACCATCACTTTACTACGTCCAAACTCCAGAGAGAAACTTGATGATTTTAGAGGAAAACAGCTAAAAATGAGCCAGAATCCAGTCAGTTTCAGATTAGCCAAAAAAAGATCGAATGTGGCTAAAAAATTGCCAATACTCAGAAAAAATGCTGAAAATAAATTTAGTCTCAATAAAAGTTGAAAGGAAACTGTAACCAAACAGATGGAAAAAATATTACTTAAAAAGTTCCTGTTTATTCTTCGCAGAAGACTTCCAGCCCCGCCCACTCGACCTTTAAACTCTCACAAAGTTGAGTCCTATTTCCCTCTGTGACTCCCTGGTGATCAGTGCCTCTGTGTGGACAATCAGGAATCGAACCCTCGACACTGGATATGTTTCTCTAAGGAGCACATCAGTGAAGAAAACAGTGCCCCTGGAGGCGACAGGGTGTCAGGGCCTCGGCCAGGACTTTGACCTGAAGCTGGTTCTTGACGTATCCTGGATCAACGAAATTCCTCAGGTTTTTAAACTGGTTTGAAACTCTCAGTTCAAGACGTGTCGAGCTGTTGAAACCGCTGTCAAACTGGTTCAAAAGTCTCCGACTCAGACGAGGCTGAAGTGTCAGAACCCAGGTTTAACAGACCTCTGAATGCTGGACTGGGTTTAAACTGTCAGTTTCAACTGAAAACAAAAAGTTTAGACCATTTTAAACTCAACAAACTGGTTAGTGCCGGTCTAAACTGGTTTATGGTCGAAATCAAACCAATTATTTTTAAATTTGATCAAACTTGTTCAGTCTCTGTCCAACTGGATTAAAATGAATTCAACCATAACTGTGAAACCACAACAGAGTCCAATTAAAA